TATTCTATTCTATTCTATTCTATTCTATTCTATTCTATTCTATTCTATTCTATTCTATTCTATTCTATTCTATCAATAAGTTTTTCTTTCATTTAATGCCCTCTACTGATCAAACAAGTATTTTGAGATTAATAAAATAGTAATCTGAGGCTGTGAAGCTAATAAAACTTACAGCAACCGCCTCCAGGATCTGCTTCACTGCATCAGCAGCATCTCGCTCACTGTAATATCCTTTTTCCACAATTCTATAAAGAAACAGAAATATGCCATTCAAACTGAAGAATTTCTAGAACAGCGTAATTCTTGGCAAACTTATTAAAATACATCACAGAATAATTAAGCAATATAATCTATCATGATTTGATGGATAAAGTTCTCACTAAAAATAACTTTACTCTGGGTTAATAAATATATATATTAAATATAATATGATAATGTAGAAGTAAGGACTCTAGCAAACAGCTCAGTTCCTAGTAACTTGAGAGATATTCGTGTTAAATTTCTTGATTTAGATTTCCAATCTTATCTAGAAGTTATCCTTGATTTATGGCCATAATTGAACCTGGAATTATTGTCGTAAGTTGTGCTGACTTTTTAGTGGGTCACCATGCAATCATATCCAATTATTGTTATGGTCCGTCAGCTTCCAGCGGAGCTGGCGGCAGACTCAGATGATGAGGAGGTTGGGGGGATCTTGGGCCAGTCCCAGAGTCTGGGAAAGGCTCTGATGGATGCTCTGCATTGAAAGCAGTATAGGGCCAGGGCTATCCGACATGGCTTCGGAGTCAGAGATAAGTGGGGAAGAACAGCTGGGACCTGTTCCAGATGTGTGTATACGCAGAGCTGTCAGGAGAGGAGAACAACTTAAGAACAAGGGCCGACATGGGAAGAAAGGCACATGTGGACACTGAATGGCCCCTCCCTGGGGAATAAATAGAAGGAAAAGGGAAGTGGTGGTTGCAGGAGACAATAATTTGTATTTCTTTCGGAAGATTTGCTTATCATGGTTCGTACTTCAGAGACTCCTTGCTAGGAATTAACTAACAGCATTGTGACTGGAAGCTCTCAGCCTGGCAATTATCCAAGAATTGATAAGATCTGTTCTTGCAATTAACCCTTGGAAGGATTATTGCCTGGACTTTTCTGTGTGTGAATGTCATGAATTCACAGTAACTAAATAAAGAGTGGTTTTTTGGGACAAGGAGTCTGTTTCTTGATTCTGCTAAGGCTGGGTAAGAACAATTATGACCTTTATTGCAGGGATCCACAATGGGTATTTTTTGCTGGAAACCAGAACAAAACTAATGCAGTTTCCAGCAAAAAACCCATCATAAATTGCGATCATGACTGTGGGATATTGCAAATGGCTGTAAATGCAGGCCAGTTGCCCCCAATGCTATCATGTGATCATGGTAGGGTAGCAATTGGAACTTCAAATCTGGGTTGTATGTAGCCCTGGGGAGTTTTGTCATAACTTCAAACAGTTGATGAGTCAAGAACTACCTGAACTAAAATAATTTTATTTATTTATTTATTTATTTATTTATATATATATATATATATATATATATATATATATATATGTGTGTGTGTGTGTGTGTGTGTGTGTGTGTGTGTGTGTCAAGTGTGTGTATAAAACATTAATAACAACAAACAGAAGAACAGAAAAAGGCAACAACAATTTAAAAGTCAAGTAGAACAAAAAATAGGTTTACAACCACCTAAACCAACAGTCCCTAACCGTTCCAGGGGGAGGGGGGATAGTTCTGTGTGAGTGGCAGGTGCACACATGTGCACAGCTGTTTGTGCAAGTGCAAGCTTCCGCCACTTGTGTGAGTGGAGCTTCGTGTGCAAGCAAAAACATGTGCAGCTCATGTGAACGGAGCTTGATGTGTGAGCTCAAGTGCTTCTTGCTCGAGTGCGCAGCTCCATTCACACGCAGCTTTACTTGCACAAGAGACGGGCATCTGCAAAGCTCCGCTAGCAAGCACCTGGCACTTGGGTGGAGTTATGCACGTGAGTACAATTGTCTACTGCTCATGCAAGAGGAGCTGTGTGTGTATGAGCACCCACCTGATGCTCACATGGCCCGATTCTGAACAGGCCACAGCCCACTAGTGGACCGCAGCTCAGTGGTTGGGACTCCTGACCTAAACAATTAAGTAGCTATCAGATGGACTTAGTTATAATAAGCAGATTCTTGGCTTTCCCTATCCTTCCCTTCCTCAGGCTGGCATTTTAGAGTCACTAAAATTGCAGAATTGTTGGCATGCCAGCTTTATGGGTTTAGTAGGCAAAGGTGGTCTGCCCCTATGGTGAGTACAGAAGCACCTGGAAAAGTTAAAAAAGGATGTTATGTTAAACCCTGGCTATGAGGAGCTAAGCTATGTGGTGATAAGCTGGCAAACAAGTAGTGATTGGTTGAGAGTCATTTCTATAATGCTGCAAAATGGGAAAGAGCTAATTAGCAAGTAGTTTTCTGCAAGCCAAACATACATACAAACCAGGCCGCACTTGTAGTATCCTGTCACTTAGATATATTTGAAAATAAGTCAAAACAGCACAAATGCATCACCAATGTGTTTTAAACTGGATTAAGAGGGGTGAAAAGATGGAGGCTGGCCAGCTAGCTGGAACAGACCTGAAGATCTGCATTCAGATCTGTTAAAATATAATTCCAGCCACTGGAGCACATGTATAATGTGCTGATGTATAATAATGTATTACCAACCTCTTCTGTTCTAAAAAAAATTAAACCCAAATGACTCTCTATTATGCAATATTTGGGCCATAAATAGTACAAAAACATGCACAACCCACCACATACCTGTCAAACAGCTCTCCTCCTGTTACCAGTTCTAAGACAAGGCTGATTTCTGTGGGGGTTTCAAATATCTCCTTCAATTTTATCTGAGAAAAGCAACAAAGTAAGCAATTGTCTATTTTTTCCTTCTTTCCTGTATATATATAATTTACAATAAAGTTACATTCCCGCCCCCGCCCCCGCCCCCCCCAATTTCTCTCCTCCTTTTTTTCTAATTAAAAACTTCACAGTATATGATTCAGCAGAAAGCATAATAAAAAAGGCATGCACTAAAAATTACTTGATTCTCCAAAATGTTTGAAATATCTTGAAAGTCTACTGGAAATAATTATAAATGGACAAGAACTCTGATGCTTTCCAGAACAGAAATAAATAAATATGGACAGATTACAAACTTTTGAGACTGTAGAGTTCTTTTGGTCTTCTTATGTGCAGCAAGACAGGAAAATATGTCCACAATAGGAAATCAAGATACAGGCTAACATTTTTAAATCTGGGCTTGCAAACAGATACAACTTACAATATTTGGATGTGAAAGTCGAAGAAGAACACCTATTTCTGTTCGGACAATCTTTTTATCTACCTGGTTAAAACGGAAAAAAACATAATAAGATTTTGAAAGTAATTGTTTCAATGATTTGCCTGCTGTAGCCATTCTGAGCATGTTTAATAGTCTTAGTGAAAATTTATGTGTTAATATTTTTAGGAAATAAACAAAAGTAAAAAATTAAGTTTAAAAAAATAAATTGTAAATCTGCCTCTGGGGTATCTGGGATTAATGTCATCAAATTTAATAGTAGAGTGGAGTTTTAAAATACAAGCAACAAAAAATGTTAGGTTACTATTTATCATTTGGAATTGATACTGAATTGATAATTACCTATATAGTACCCAAACGATATCAGCATATAAACTTTTAGAAAAACTATGTTGAAAAAAATATTCTTTTCTGAAGAGACCAATATCAAGCATCCTTTTGTGAATTTGCAGAATTGAATCTATGACAACTTTCAAAGAAATCTTAACACTTTATGTATAATGAAAATGTTACAAGCACTTTGGTTTGCATCATGAATGTATGGTACCTAAAACAATGAATCCATGAAAGTAAAATCAATACTGAGAGCGACCAGGGCCAAGAAGGAGATTTTAAATCTGAAATTAAGAAAGCCTGAATCAGTTATTTTGAGCAATTTGTGGAGTATACAAGGAAATCAATGTTTGCCATGAAACTGAGAAAAGCAAAGTATAGATAAACCAATATTTTCTTTTCAGTACAGATTAATGAATGGAAGACATATTTGTAGTTGTTATCATGAATACGTCACACAGGATAGCCAGCTTCTTTGCAAAACAAAGATAGCATTTTATATATTACTTACTTGGACTTTGGAAAGAGACTACTGTTTCTTAAAAGGAAAGGCCTTTTCTGTGCTATCAAAATCCAAATAAATTGGTTGAAGCAAGAGGACAGGAATAAATGCTTAATGGGCAAACAGATTTTTAAAAAAACTATTCTTTAAAGCTTCAGACATTTTGAGGGTTGTCTTTCTATTTAAGATGACTCTTGTATCTGTACAGACTTTGATAAACATTAATTGCATATCTCTTCAATACACTTTGTAAACACAACACGGCCTATTTCCATTTCCAAAGCTTCAAATTTCCTCCAAAATTTTCCGCTGTATATGTATGGAGTACAAGTAAATTATAAATGTATTTCTATTTGCATAGTCAAGCTCATAATTATTTGTTTATTACTGCTGTACTGAAATATGATACAGCTTTGGCATTTGTTCAAAAAAATCATATAAATAAATGGACTATAAACATGCCCTGGAATTAACTCAAATAATCCCTGATGCAATCTACTAAGCAACTACTGTTGCACCATTACCACTAAGAGAGCTTACATAAATAAAGACATAAATAAAGTATTTGTACAGTAGCTGAAAGAAATGGTTCACAATTACAATCAAAAGTCCATTATTTCAGATGGAGAGAGAACGTTCTTCTTACACTTATAACAGTTTGATAAGTAACAAAACCAGTAACTTATTAACAAGAACTTGAATGGAGTTTAAGCTAAGGTCTGTTTTTAGCACAGTGGCTTTGCAGCTTTGTGTTCATGAATGCAGGCAATAAGTTTTTGCATAGGTAATTTTTTTTATCTCAATGAATGGATCAGCGCAATATGCACATCATTTTTAGTGTTCTTATCACCTAATTATTCCACTGAGGAGAGGAAAAGTGATTGCAAAATTGATCAAAATTCCTAGACATATCAATATATTAAATCAGACAAATATAATTCATAATTCTTGTATAAAGCCACAATGCTTCTCTAATTGCAAAACATATAGCTTACCTAAAATTATATATGACACATATAAACAAGGCAATACCTGTTCTTCAAATAACTTCTTTAGAGTTGCACAGAGCTCTTCAGCAGGCAACTCCTGAAACAACATTTTTAAAAACATTATCGAAGTGCTATAATGAAAAATGGCTCTTGGACTCCTTTTCTCCTTGGCCCTATGAACACATTGGCACTTATTTTGCTGGGGCTATCAATGAAAAAAATATGCTATATACATCATTTGGTTAAGATGATTCTTTGGTAAGTTTTATTATATCCTGATTAAACATTTATTAATGCAAGCTTTTCTAAATCTCATTTATTTTCCATCTTTCCCTTAAAACATCTATATTTACATATAGATATATCTAATTTCTCACTTCATTCTTAATGTGCTTGTGAATTAATTGGCTTTTAATAGTGAGCTTTTCATCATTTTGACTATCAAGTGAAATGCTTATGTTTTTATGTTTTTTAATGGCATTTCATACTTCTGCTTCTTAAGGTTGAACACAACATTTCTTTAACTTCAAGTTTGAGAAGGAATTATAATTTAGAAATGGCAAAAAACTGCCACTACCATTAAACATCTCAGAAGTTTAAATGAAATCTTGTATTAACAAGAGAGGGATTATCTCCTTTCATTCATAGAGAGACCAGGATTTAAAGTCACAACTTCAGTTCTGAACAAGATAATAATCACTCATCACTTATTACCACTAAGCTCTGCTTTCCTGTAGTGGTAATAGAAACTAGATTCAGTTATTAGCCTTATTATATTAGTCCAGGAAATTATATTTCAGAGACAAGTAGTGGTTGACTTACTATCATAATTGAATCTGCAATTATAGCTATGCTGATGGGTCATCACCTAAACATCTTGTATTACAACCTATTTTTATACTGCTGTTAAGTGAACACGGAGATTGTAAAGTGAATGTGGTGGTTGTTAAACAAGCACTGTGTTTTTTAAGTGCATCATAAATTCACATTGCTCACTATGGTTTTGTTTTGTTGGCTGAAAATCAGAAGTAAATGCAGATTTCCAGCAAAAAAGTCATAAATTACATGCAAAATGCAGCAAAGAGCTTTAAGTGCAAGTTGCCTGTCAAGCATCCACAGTGCGGTCATATGGCTACGGGGAGTGGCCATTGGAACTTCAATCTAGGTCCTAAGCACCTTTTGGGGGAATTCATCATAAGTCAGAACTACTCTCATAGCTAGCTTTTCCTTGCTTTTTTATCCCAAGTTTCAGTTTGGAACAGAGATACTCTGACTATTGGAAGGATGGAAGAAAAGAAGGGAGGATGATTAATTTGCCCAGATGTGTACATCCATTAGTAAAATGGGAAGGAAAACAGCCCCTCTCACCTTATAGGACCTTTTACATGCACACAAATGGCTCACTTCTGAAATAAGCCAGTCATAGGCTGAAAAACCAAAGGTAGTGCTACTCTTTTTACTCCATTTCTTTTAATGTTTTCTTTTAAAAATATGGAAATTGCCCTATCTTCTTCTGTGATTTTCTTTTCAACTTCCCAGGCTGGTCTATAGTCTAGGTATTTCTTGATAATCTCCTATCCAGGTATTAACCAGCTCTGACTCAAATCTGATTTCCAGAATCAAGTAAGGTTTGTAAGATTGTGCCATCAGCTACAAGAAAATTCAAAGATACACTATTTCTTTTCTAAACAAAATATACTTTTCCAGGTATCATATTTAATCAGCCTACATTTAATATTCTTATTTTAAGTCACATTCATTCCAAGTTAAGGTCCAAAGTATTGTATATGAATTTGCACATGCATAATCTCCAACAGACTTTCAAATCAGAAAACATGGATAGTGAACAGTGCTGGACCTCGTAGGTACTCAGCTGATTTATCAGCCATAGCTCCAGATCAATATGCAGTAGGTTTTTGCTTGTTCAAGCCTGAGTAGATTGCAGTTGCACAGGAAGTGACATATATAACTATACTAATGTACTATTACTAACTCAGTTCCAATTGTCTCTTGAGAGGATTACTTTAATGCATTCTAGATAGGACTGCCTTTGGAGACAAACTAGTACTTGCAACTGGTAGAAAATGTAGTGTCAAGATTATTAATTGGATACCCTTCCAATTCAGAATTACACCTATTTGAAGTCAATGAATGGTTGCCAGGAGGCACAATGCAAAGTGCTGCTCATTATCTTTACCATTATCTAAACAGCACAGCACCAGGATATAACAAGCAATCTGCATACCCCATTATCAAGAATATCCTTTCTAAAAGTTTCATTCCTTTCTGAGGCCTGATGGCTTTCTCTGTACTATCCCTTCCTTTATAGAATATTCTGTTGCAGTGGTGGATTTCAAAAAATTTTTATCACTGGTTCTGTGGGCATGGCTTAGTGGGTGCACTTTGCACACTAATCTTCTCCTGTAATCTTGCACTCTCCCTGGTCTTTGACAGCTGATGCGCAGCAATTCGCTGTGCCGCACAAAACAGCTGAGCTTCAATACCAAGAAATAAAAGTCAGTAGAGAGCTGGGGTGGTGAAAGGGCCCAACAGCTGATCATTGGAGCAAACTGGTTTGCTCAAAGATGATCCTCAGAGCTACCGGTTCAGCCCGGTACACCAGAAATTTGCAGAGAATTTTTTTTTTAATTAGCTGATCAGCTTTGCTGCTTCCTATTCAGTCCTCCCTCTGTATGAATCAAGATGTCACTTCAATTTTGCCTTTTCTCCTTCTTCCATTCACAAATAGAGGTAGTGTTATTAACTTCACTTTTCTCATTGTAAATCCCACTGAATCAGTTGGAATGCTGATCTAAGTAAGAAGAACTAAGTAAGAGCTCGGGTTCTCACTTAGAATGAAGGGCATTGTTATGTTGTACTGTGTAAAATTTTGTTTTATGTTGATTTACTAGTTTAGACTTCGTTATAGATAACTGCAAGAATCTATTCAGCATTACTATTTTATTATAGAGACGGTAAAAAATCCTTGAAACACTTTTTGCACCTTTAAAAATTTGCTTATTTTATGTATAAAAAGATGAGTGGACAGATGTATGAAACCTCAAATTAAGTTTTTAGCAACTAAATAAAAGATAAATAGCAAAGAAAGAGGCCTGAACCATTTTTTAGTTTCTTATAATGCATACATCAGAAACCAAACAGGAGAAACAGACTTAAGATTTGATTTGAGGAGGTATCAATGTTGTTTCTGTATCTGCACATAATTTTTCAACTAATTTAGATGCAGAAGTTTTTTGTTTATTTTTTTTTAATTAGCAAGCAGACTGGGTATCATCACTGCATAATTTATCTGATTTAGTTTCATGGCTGTAACATAAAATTGCTTCGTAAGTTTCACAGTAAAGATTGTTATAAAATGCTAATGTAAAAATTGGAATAAAACATCTATTATTTATGTCTTCTTTAGAGACTATAGGGAAACAAGTTTTCCGATGCAGTAATATTTACAGTTTCCTTTAAAAAAATTTATTAGTTTATTTACTGAATTATCCTACTTTTCACAATAAATGACACATATGGTACTAATAGTAACAAAAATAAAATAGATTAACAATTAAAACAGTTAAAATACAATTAAAAGCATATCAGTAAAAAGAATACACACTCAGTTACTCAACAGCGAGTCAAATTATATGCCAGAGGGAGACAGTTTGCCAGAACACAGAAAACAAGAGAGAATTAGCCTAGCAATTTATATCAGAAAGTTCTGAAGCCTCTTTTAAACCTGTCAAATCTCTTACTCAAAAAATTCTACAATAATTTGAAAGGAGGGAAGGAGGAAAGGAGGGAGGCTTCTTCTAAATGACATTGTGTGCACTGTTATAATGATAAATGCATTATTTCAAAAACCTGATCCTAAATTATATAGGATTTAGGGCACTGTGCTGGGAAAAAGTCCTCCAGTCAGTGGTGATACTTTGAATTATTTTTCAACTGGCTTTTCCTTATCCAACTACTTGCTAAAATCAGACCAATTTAGAATTTATTTTGTAGATAAAAGTATTGATAACATCAAAGGATTTGTTTCCTCTCATAATGATACAATATTGAAAGGAAAACATTTATACCAGTGTTCATCAACCATAGTAACTTTAAGATGCATGGACTTCAACTCACAAAATCCCATGCCATTATGACTGGCTGGGGAATTCTGGGAGTTGAAGTCCATGCACCTTACAGTTGCCAAGATTGAGAAACATTAGTTTATACCAGGGCTGTCAAATTCAATTTCATTGAGGGCGCATCAGGGTTGTGTTTGATCTCAGGGTGGGCATGGCCAAGGGGCCATGGCCAGGGTGGGTGTGGCCAGCTTCACATCATTCATGTAAGGGGCCATCTGTAATGTCCCGGGCTGGGTGGATCCTCTACCAGCAAAAACAGAGCCCAGGCAGCCACAAGGGCCTCCTGCAGCCCTCTGCCAGTGAAAAGGGAGCCAGGAGGGCTGCATGCAGCTTTCCTGAGCTCCATTTTTACTGGCAGAGGCACCACGGGCCAATCCTTTGCTATTTCCAGGGCAACCCTGTAGGCCAGATCAAAGCATCCCATGGCGAAATCCAGCCCGTGGGCCTTAAATTTGACACCCCGGTTTACACTCTGATCTTCTCAGTCTATGATTGTCAAAGCTTCATCCACCTTTCTTCTACTAGGAATTCCAAATAAAGGAGGGAGAGTAAGAAACAAGCTGCACTCTTATAGCAGAAGTTAGCCCTCCTTAATTTAGTTTTCACATTTTAAGTCACTATTATATCTTCCTCAGTTTTCAGAGATATCATGTGACAAATGTTAAAATCTGCAATTTTTAGGAACTATAATTTTAATGTAATGCTACATGATTTTTAGTAGTATAAATGGTATTCACTGCAAGATATTGCATGTAAATTTTTCCAATCAATATCTTTGGCACTTTTGAATTAGATCTGTTTTATTTCATTTTGATTGTCATTCTAAAATTAAAATTCCCTAATAGAAAATGGTATCAGAAATTGCTATAAGCCATGTAGTGGATTTTATTCATAATGAAGAGTGATCCATACCTTCTACTTAATGGGAGATTAGGTCCCATGGGCAACAAATATCATATATTGAAATCTTAAATTTAATAGGGATTTAGTAAGAGATATATAGTCATAATTAAATGCTGTTACAACATAATCCTATCTGCAGTTCCAAGAAACCTAGTCAGCACAGGTTCACCTATGTTGGCTGGAACTCCTGGAAGTGGAATATATAAGAATCAGAAGAAGATTAGTTTAAAGAAGGCTCCCATAAACATTGCTTTTTTGGAGTAGATCTATTGAACAATTCTTACATAACAAAAAGATCCATACTTAGACAAAGCTGATTGTTCATATAGATAGTCCTCAACTTACAATCAAAACTGACCATGGCAATTATAGTCATAAGTTGTGATGATCATAAAGCTAGTCACTGTGATGACTCCCCTGAATCCTTCCTTAGACACATCTCCAGATGAGAAGCAGAGGATGAGCCAGTCCCAGGCATGTCAGGAGGAGAAGCAGCCATGGGCTGCAAGTTAGGAATGGAGCACAGTGGAGTGACTGGATGAGCAGACGTCTGAGCTAGAGACAGGAGAAACATAGATGCAGCTGGGAAGCCCACAGACTTCACATGGAGAGGGCACACAGCTGCAGCTTGTCACTGGAGATGAAGAAGAACGGCCTCCTCCTCCAAATCTGAGAGCACCTATGGCCGAGAGGAGCCAGGCACAAGGAAGGTCAACCAGGCTACTTGTGAGGAGAAGCCTCACCCCTCTTGATGTGGTATACCAGGAAGCAGTTATTTAGCTCAGCAGGGGGAGTGAAACGATGCTGGAACAATATGTCCATTTCCTTGCTGTGTGTCCTTGCCTTGAATTTCAGATCACAACTCTTCAATTGTGCCTTTACCTTGGAGACTTGCCTTGTTTTTGCACTGTGGACTGCTTCTTTTGAATAGTCTGTTGAACTCATCAGGAAGAGGCTGGCCCTGGCACAGGGAATTGTTGGAGAATACTAATTCAGCATTGGAACCCCTAATAATGACCTCTAACACCTGTGGTGTGTGTGTGTGTGTGAGAGAGAGAGAGAGAGAGAGAAGGAAGGAGGGAGGGAGGGAGAGAGAGAGTAGCTCTTGACAATCTAGCATAACCTTTGATGGTCACTAAGCAATAAGTCAAGGATTATTGTGCAATGTGCTTTCAAAAGCAAAATTCAGCAACAACAAACTCATGAATAGCAATAGCTACACTTACAGTTTTCTTCAAGATTTTGACAGCAAAAGGCTTTTGAGTTCCTTTCTGCCTGCACCTGTAGACAATAGATGTAGCACCCCTGAATGAAAAGACAAAGAAAGATGTATCATTTAGTTGGTAGTAAATTTGTCAGAGAAAGCACATATTTCCTTCCTCAAAACAATGCCTGCTTCAAAACCTGACATTTGGACTCTTGAATGGGAAAAAAAGTCATATTTTCTCATTTTTTCCGTGCTGCTCTTATATTTTTACCTTTGACTCAAATAATGAATTAAAAACTTTGTTTTTGTGAATGCAATTTTTTTTCTTAGTCAGAAATTTACATATTTTCAAAAAATAGAAAATGGGAATTTGCCTATCCCATTATTAGAGTATATTTAATGCAACAAATTTTATAATATTGACATATTTAATATTTTAAAAGAAGTTATGAGATAAAATAAATCTCAAAAAATAATATGATCAATAAGACTTCACAGCAGAGATTATTGAGTAACACTTGGGCCATTCAACAAATTGTCAAACATGCCTCCTGAGAACAATATAATTTATTTTTAAGTCTATCCAATTTGAGCTATTAAAATCCAGAGGACCACTAGATGGGAGCAAAGATACACAAATTCAAATTCTTTATTGTTCCAGATCAGCCACCCAGATAAAACAAGATTTGCTAAATATAACCTACCAATACAACTTAGAAAACAACATTTAAAATACAAGGCATATAAGGTGAAAAATGTATGATCACACTTGCACTGTTTTGCTATCAAAAATCTGCAAGTTTTATAAATGGTGTAAACTGCAATTTATAAGAGGGAAACTTATCTACCAGTGAAAACGAAACATAAAAATCTTCAGTCCCTCCTGGAAAAAAGCTTAGAAAAAGGTATTACTAGCTTTTTATGTATATTTCAGGGCAAAAATATAGAAAAAAAATCTTCAAAAGTAGTCCTTCAGCATTTTATATTTTTAAGGTATATTTTATGCTTTAAAATTTAATTTTACATTTGTTTAATAAATTACCCTTTTAGTTTTAACAATACCACATTTGAAACAGCTTCAATATTTAGGGAAATTTACTTTATCCACACCAAACCTGAAAATTAATTTTTTTAATTCTTCCCAGATTCAAGAATAATCTTCTCTATGATATATGGAATCTGATAGGACAACGTTGATAGAATTAAGCCATGGAACTAGTCCTATGGTTTTACAAATCCTTGCTTGTATTTCAATGCTAGTTTATGCCTAAATGATAATGTATATAACCACATAAAGTCTGGGTTTAATCGCTTTCTGCCACAAATAAATTGGATATTAATTCCATACAATATGCCAATAAGAGTTCATTAACAGTGAAGTTAATAACTGTTAGGGCTCTTGACTTTAAGGGAAAAGGTGATGAGTGTAGAGGAGCTGTCAGCAGCTTCATAATCCAAATAGGTTCTTTTCCTTCAGTTGTGCTGCAACTGCAAAGACAGGACAGTCACACAACAGCAAGGAACAGACACTGCTGCTTTAAGAAGTTGCTGACAGCTGCTATCCAAGGGCTCCTGCCTGTTGCAAAGCCTCTTTTTTCCCTTTATCTCCAAAGTTGTACACAATTCTATTGAAATTTCTGTATTAACATTTCTATATTATTATTTTATACAGTTTTTTCAATTTTAAATTATACAGAAGAGAGTGTAACGATCTAGAGAAGGATGGCTTGGCAGTATATGAATCCCATCCCCTCTCTCTCTCTCACACACAAACCTTTTAAGTAAAGTATAGGAGATAGGAAACAAATTAAGACAGGACATTCGAAAGGTGCTTTTCAAAAGGCAAGTGGACTTTCTTGGTTTTGTTTCCTTTAAAACATTTAGTTTCTCATCCAAGAATAAGAAATGGCGGCGCCCAACTAGGACGGTGAGGCTCTCGCTCCTGGAGCACTATCTCCCTATAAAGCCACCACCTGCACCAGAAATCACTTTTAATCAGAGCAATAAATTCCTCCCACCCAGTAAATCACAGCTGCTAGTAAAACAATTAACCCATTCCTTGCAGACTCTCAATACTACCTCATTACTTTAATCAAACACTGATTAATTCATTACCTCAAAACTTACAACTTTTCTACCTCATCACCTATATCAATGATTAGATAATAAATTTCTATAAAATATTTCATTAATGGTTTAATTGATTTATTGTTTTAATTGATTAGTGTGATTAGAGTGTTTAGTGCAAATAGTGTGATTACTGATTAGTTTAAAAGATCAAGATTCATGTAATTTAATTGATTAGTAAAATCAGTGATTTAGTGAATTTAATTGAACAGTGTGATTAACGATTAGTGTAATTAATTGATTAGCGATTAGTGTAATTAATTGATTAGGCTGATTGTTGCTTAGGAAAATTATTTGATTAGAGAAATTACTGCAATTGATTGATTGGTGTGATATTGGCTATATTGATTACCCAAAATTGTTCCATTAATTAATTTAATCAACATACCATCTTAACAAACCTACCATGCCAAGAAAAAAATCCAATGCCAAACCACAACCTAAAGAGAAAGTAATTCCCACCAATGAACCACAAGACTCCTGCACATGCCTTAAATGCTACAAAACTCTAAAGGATAATGAAAACTCCATCAAATGTTCTCTATGTAACAAATACGCTCATCATGACTGCTTGGGATAACCCGAGTAAATGATTCAATGCCTAGAATCATCCAATGGGTTTCCATATCTCTGCAAATCATGCAGACCCAAACTGGATCTATTGGAAAGAGTTGATACCATTGAAACATGAATAACATCCCTTGACACCATAGTAGCATCCCTGGACGCCTTAAAAGAAAGATTATCCAACCTTGAAAAAAAAGACACAACGCAAAAACCTGAACATCCAATAGCTACAAACCACATCTCTACCCAACAACCACAACCCAATCCATAAAAAACATAAATCAGACAAATAATGATATCCCAATCCTCATCAGAGAAGCTGTTGAGCGTGGACAGAAACGTCCAAACACCATCTTATTTGGTCTAGAGGACATCAATGATAATGATGACATCACAACTGTCCGAAACATCATCAGTGATTATCAAACATCAACCATCTCCCCTGATGAAATACTTGACATTTCCCGCATTGGCCGAGAGCTCAAATACAGAGATGGCTCTGTGGCCCCACGCTTCTTCAGGGTCATTTGCAAAAATGAATCAAGCAAATGTAAATTCATTTACACTATAAATTCACTCGCCAAAACCAACACCAACCATAAGAACCTCCGTTGTTGCCCTGACCTAACCATACAGCAATGTGCCCACTCCCATGTACTCCGCACTGAACTCAAAAAACGTCTAGACAATGGAGAGAAGGACCTGTACATTGACTACCATGCTGACTGTATCAAAAATAAGTCACACAACCCACAACTCAGCTTTAACCTTCAACCACAACCCTACCTCAACCAATCCACCATCACCCAAGACTAGGCACGCATGCCCCTAACTACCTCAATTCCAACTACTGCTGGCCTTAAATGCAAGCTACTCAATGCAAGAAGACTTGCGAATAAAATACCTGAATTTCTCCTCTTACTAAATATGGCTAAATTTGACATCATATTTGTCTGTGAAACATGTCTCAATGCATCTCTCCCTGACTCCATTACCACAGTCAGAGACTATCATGTTTACCAATCAGATCGTGAAATTTGTAGAGGAGGTGATGTTGCTATCTTCTATAAAAAGTCCTTACATCTAAAAAACATCCAAGTTACCCAAGAGCTTGCTCTTCCTGAGACCATCATCTGTGAACTATCCTTAAATATCACATTTCGATTCTTACTATGTTACAGAGCACCTGATTATGACACCAAACATGTAAACAAGCTAAATACACTACTAACATGGACAGCATCCTGCCCACACGCTTTTATCTTTCTTGGTGACTTCAATCTACCTCATATTGACTGGACCCTAAATGAATGTATAATTGAACCCATACACACAACCTTCTACAATGCTGATACAAATCTGGGACTGGAACAACTAGTAACCTACAGCACTAGACTAAACAATTGCTTCAATCTCATCTTCTGCAATAGTCTGAATTCAATTTACGGAATACAAACTAAAGAACCCTTTTGCAGCAGTGACCACAATATGACTGACTTTTGTCTCAACATATGCCCACACAAAAATCACCACAATGATGTAATCCCCAGTTATAACTTTAAAAAAGGCAACTATGATCTTATAGACAACGATCTCTCATCCCTTGATTGGCAATTTCTATTCTCTGGATGCAATACTGTTGAAGACCATTACAACATATTTTTATTTGAAGTCAAAAAAGTCATCAAACTATATGTACCAACAACAACTCCCAAAACAAAACAAAAAAAAAAACAGATTACCCATAACAATAAGGAAACTTCAATCCAAAAAGAGATCACTCTGGCGGAAAAAAAAATCTGGTCACGTTGCCAATTTCAAAAGCTGATAGAAAAATGTATGCCACCAGATAAAGACTGAATGCACCAATTATCACATTAAACAACAGGAAAACCTTCTATGCACCAATTCCACCCACGCTTTTTACAATTTTGTAAACAACAAACTAAAAGACTCAAGGTCCATCCCACCCTTGATAGGACCTAATGGTAAAGACTGCAACGACGACACCATTAAAGCCAACATCTTTAACACATTTTTCGGCTCAGTATTTGTAAACAGCAATGGATCATGCCCAGTATTTCTTAGCCGAACCACAGACAACTACAATGATCTAATACATATTGATTTTACAGAAGATAATGTTGAAAAAGCACTACGCAATCTAAAACCATCTCTATCTATTGGACCGGATGGAATATGTGCCTACTTCTTAAAAAAGCTATCCACTGCCACAGCCGAACCTCTAAGCATAATCTTTTAAAAATCTTTCAGGACCAGCTCCTTGCCTAACCTATGGTCACAAGCCACAGTCATCCCCATCTTCAAAAAGGGAGACCCCAGCCTAGTTGAAAATTACAGACCAATCTCCTTATGCTGCATCACCTGTAAAGTCATGGAATCA